TACCATTACCATTACCATTACCATTACCAATACCAATACCATTACCATTACCATTACCAATACCATTACCATTACCACTACCATTACCATTACCTCCAACAAAACATCCCCACTATTACTACACCACTACCATTACCATTTCCTCCAATATCACTACTGCAACACTACCACCACCACTATCACTACCATTTTTGCTATCACTACTAGTACCACTAGTACCACTACGAACGCCACAACCATCAGTTCCACCACCAGTACCACCAGTACCACCATCACCACCATTAACACCATCACCACCATTACCACCATCACCACCACTATCACCTCAACCATCGCCACTACATCCATCATCATTCGATCAGGTCTATCCACCAAATATCACTTCACAGAACTACCAACATTTTAAAGTAAAATATACAAATATGTTATTTTTTTCAGCGAGCAGATCAAAAGGAGAAAAGAGAAGATGCACACAAGTTCCATTTTGATGCAATGTAATCACGTGTTGGTCGCGTGCCTTATCACGTGTTGGTCACGTGCCTTATCACGTGTTGGTCACGTGGTCATCGTTCAGTCAGGTAATCGTAGTGAGGTACTTAGAACAGATAGTAGTTTAATCTCGCATATAGAATTTCTTCTACAAATCTACTTTTACAATTATCCATGGACTAAACAGGAAGTAGACTGATCAGGAAGTGGAATGGCCACGTGTGTCGAGGGTGATAAAATAGTAATTATAGGAAAATATGAACATAAACATCGACTTGGATCCACAGTGGCTTACTATAGCAGTGAGAGCGCTCTCCTCTTACATATGTAGCATTGATTCGATTCCTGAACTCGGTGTCACGTGAATAGATTTTATATTTGGTTCTTTCCTGTGCTTCGAGGGTTTTTCTCTCCGGGTTCTCCGGTTTTCCTCCATCCTCAGAAATCAACTTTTGTGGTCATTCAAGTGAAGGGGTAGCATTGATAGAGAGGGAAGAAGACTTGAACCCAAGGCCAATTACCTCTTCAAAATTAGCAGATCAAAATTGCTCTGATTTTTTATGCTTGTGGATATAGACTTTTTTAGATAGCAAACGTGGTGCATCCTGGTCTAGCTTGGGTAAAAACATATCTTATTCGTCGTGCCTCAAATCGTATTGTTTGTACCCAAACTAGACCAGAAAGCACCTGTTTATGGACGTCGTAAAAGGACTATTTCATTTGTGGGTATGGAAGTGTTTTTGCTTCTTCTCTAATCTCTCAATTTTCGTCTCGGGAAAAATCTTCTGTGTTTGTATTTAGTTTTCCCCATTTTTTCTCAGTCACTTTTTCTTCACATTCAGATCAGTATATTTATAATGCCATTTGGTTATATTTAATAATAGTAATTTTCATAATTTTGAATTTTCTTTCTTCTATATATTAAAACACAGTAGAATGTACTAGGGATGTGTATGGAGCTTCGTCTGATTTTAAGTCGTTAAAGAATTTTAAATCAAGATATAAATATTACATTAATACTGATATATTTACATGGTACATAATATCACTTAGGAACCAACTTTTTTTCATTAAATATTATAATAGTGGCTTTGTCTAGTGGCTTTGTCATGAGCTTAGGTCTGTATCTCGTGAAAGGTCTGTATATTGCCAAGTTTAGAAACCAGTTGCTTGGTCAGCAATTCGATATACAAAGGCACCTTGTGTACCCTGTAATAGATCATTTGCTAAACGCCACTGACAACTTGCTTTCATGATTTTGGCACAGTTTAAATAATTTCTAGATTATAATAATTATGATAATTATAATAATTTAAATCATATCGTAATTAAAACCATTTAATAAAATAATTAAAATTTTCAATAATTGAAATTCTATCTTTCCCTTAATATGATGAAAGTGTTCACATTAACTAATTCTCTCATGATGTCCCACAATATAAGTATCCAATTCACAAAGAATCGATTTATGCAAATTAGGATTTTGTGTTTCCAGAATTTAGTTAATCAAATTAAACTAATTGAATAGTACCACGTGATCGTTCCTGGCAATAATTTCATTGATCACTTGGTACGGAAAATCAATCACGCGGAACAGATTACAGATTCGTGGGCTCTGTTTCACCACTCTTTAGATTTCCATAGTATTTCCCAATAAAAACATCCCTCTTTCTGAGGCTTAGTGGTTGGGCTACGACATAGCTATAAAAAAAACTATATGGCTTGGCAGAATTTTGTATGGCGTCGTTTAGATGACGCATGCGTGAATTTTTTATTACACAAGTCGCACTGGAAAGGTTTCTCTCCCGTGTGAATGCGCATGTGAGCATTACGGTTTCCTGTTTGGCTGAAACGTCTGGGGCAGAAGTTGCACTTGAATGGCTTCACTCCACTGTGGATGATCATGTGTCTCTAAAAAGTTACGAAAATGATTGTTAATACTGCATGATCTGGTGTAATTATGACTGTGAAGGACTATGGGATGGTAGAGGGGCAAGCTGGTTGAGATGCATAGGAAGGAAGAAATTTGGCGATGATGTGACGGAGATTGGTGGTGATGAGAAAATGAGTTGTTCCAATAATGACCAATGAGGGTCACTATTGAAAATGAGGTTTTTGATCATGTGATGGAGAAGTTTGGAAGTAATATAAGCTAGGAGGACTGATAGAGAGATAGGTGGCGTTGATGAGAAGAAGAAAGACAATTAAGGGAGGATGGGGAAGAGGAGAAAAACTAATTGTGACAACGAATCAGCTCACTTACCCTCAAATAATAAATGTGTTTCAGTTTCTTGAAACAAATTGGACAATAAATCACTTCTTTTTTCGCCAATTTGGCATCTCGCTGAAGCATATTCATTGACGCTGCACTTTGTGGCACTAGATTATCCTTCTGTTGGCCTAACATTCGGTATTGGTCTCCGACTTTAATGTAGTCCTTATCGTTGCGGTCTTCTCCACCATAATGGCGTTCTCCACCATTATGGTAATCCCTGCCGTTGTGCTCAAAGTCACCACTACTGTCCCCAGAACAGGACGCGGAGTCATCGTTAAGTGACAGCTTTGTGTCGAACGATTCACTAATTGGCGAAGAGCTTCCGCTACTGAGAGAATTGCTTTCATCATGGTTCGTATACTGAGGCTTAGGCAATCTTAGGATAAAGATAAAACATTTATAACGTGAATGGAGCGCCTAGAATGCTTTTGGATGCAAACATTGGCTTTTATTATCGAGTTCGGGGTCAAAACAATTAGGATTCACCCTTTGAGCGGTAGCCATCACGTGGTATTAAACGTGTTGGATTGTGTTACGGTCACCAAGAAGTTCGGGCATTGTTCTCGGATTTCTGTACGAATGTACTGACTTTTAAACAAATTATTTACTCTGTTTAGTTAGCTCTCTAAATACGAGCAAAATATCATTTCTCGGCTCGGGCATAATGTCTTCCCATTTCAGACCACGTGTCATTCCCTAGAGTATCATTTCTTTGTTTAACGAACGGTTGCGCTTGGTTGCGACTCAAACATAGAATCATTTTTTTCAAGGGAACCACACGTGGTCTAAAACGAGAAAACATAGAGCCGAGCCAAGGAGGTCTATTAGAGATATGAAGTGCTCATTGTGGAAACCGATTTTTTTTGACTATTGATGACATACCTTTTGTTCCAAGCATCATTCAATATCATAGATGTTTTGTCTTGTTTGACACTTGGGCTCAATAGATGGTAGAACATGACGAAATCACCAGGTTTTTCAATGGCATGTTGTGGATTGGGATATAGGCTATGAGGGCGCTTTACAGTATGAATATCTGGTAAAAATGCAGAGTTCTTGCCATTCAGGGCATCTATAGGAATGTAAGTCTTTTTGCCAGGACTATAAGCAAACGACGAACCTTGTGTCTTTGATTTCGACAGCCCGTTTCTATGGTGACGCTCCTCCCTAGCTACGTCATTGGAACCAAGATTTTTGTCAACACTGTCGTCATAGGCAACGTCAGACTGAGCTGAAGGACGATTGAGAACTTCGTTGATCATTTTGGCATCAGAAACAACGTACTCAGTAGTAGTGTAGAGGCTGGAAAATCGGTGATTGACATCGCTGTCAGACTTGAAGCAGCACGCATAGGGACACTCCATATGGGGTATGGAGAAGAAGGTCCCATTAAAAAGCATTTGATGAACATTACAATCTGAAAGGGTGAATAGGAAGAATATATTTGGTCATCGTGCCAAATTATATAAACAATTTTATCGGGGTTATCAGTGATAGGAGGTAACATTTCAAAGCCTACAATGCCGAGGAATGGACGGGATTTCAAAGTAAGAATAATATTTCTAGTCCGAGGTGAGTATTTGAGTATTCGTGGTTCCGACTCCCCTTAGTTACCGTTGCTATGTCCCACGCAAGTTTGACAAATTATCTCGAATATATCAGAATTTAAAACTCTAACCTCAAACAATTGATTATGAATTGTTTTGATAGTTTACTTTCCTGCTAAAAGAATAGAATAATCCTCGTAGTAGTTTGCGGGACAAGATTTTAACTTCACTGAGAAAACTGCTGCAATGATGATTGGTTTGCTATTGTTTGGGTCAGAACTATGGATTTATTGTATTCAATCGTAATCTTGTTCCAATGCCTACAGGAAAAGGTCCGGGGAAACTGGAACAGATTTTCAGTTGGCTAGGGAGTACATTCCGGAGTTTCAACGCTTGTCACGTGGCCGAAATGGGCACATGTGGTTGCCTAGCTACCTCGTGAATAATTAATGAGTACTTGAAGGGTAGGGTGTTTCTAAGGCGCGTGATAGAAACCTCTCGAATAGTACGACCAATGAAATAATTCTATTTTGGTTATATAACAGATGGGTGTTTCCAATGAATAGTACGACCAATGAAACAA